GATTTTCTACATATCGGGTATTTGGAGAGTGGTCAGTGACTGGTTGAGGACCTTGGTGAGATAACCTACTCCCGTCGAGCCTAGATGCTTTAGCATTAATATGTTCATTCCATCAGGGCCAATGGATTTAGAGGATTTTGCTTTATTCTCCTCCTCCTCGTCAGTGAAAGTAAGTGGCGCGAAGTCGTTTGGCATTTTGCGCAGCCGTCGGTTAACACATTTTTGTCTACCGAAGGATGCAGTATAAACTGCCGGCTAAAATAGCTGGCGCACTTTCGTAAGAGGCATGACCATTGAATTGAACTTCAACTCGGTCGTCATGTCTCTTCAGATTAGACCCAGCTTTGACAGTAGCCCAAAGCTTACTCACACCAGTGAAGAGGTTGCAGGACTTCAGATGCTCTATCCATTTCGTCCGCTTATAACGGTTTAGCATACGCCGAATCTCCAAATTAAGATCCCTTATTCGGGGCTCCCCGGGATCGGCATGGCGTAAGGTGTTGTCCTCGTTAGCTAAAACTGCTGCCTCGGCTGGGAAATTGGTGTGGCTTTCCGCTATTCTTCCAGCTGGGATGAAGCGAGCAGTAGTTGCTGTAATCACTTTGAGGAATTGAAGTCGAGGCTCGCGCGTCTGGTGGAAAAATCCAGTCAATTTTCAAGTATCGTCGATGAGTAAGCGGATATTCGCTTCTCTGTTCTTCAGTGGTTTAAATAAAATATATGAATTTATTAAAGAAATCTCCAAACAAAAAAAAAAAAAAAAAACAGTTTACGACACCTTTAGGTGAAGGAAATATGTGCCGCGTATCGAGTTACCGCAGCAAACCAAGTGGTGAGCGATAGTTACCTCTCGAGTTGCGACAGCACACACACCCCATGGTGAGTAAGAGTCACCTCTCGAGTGCAAAGGCTTAATTACGATAGTGAAATTGATTATAGTATGTAGGGATACATTGAAATGATAGACGCAAATTGTTCACATTGTGATTTGACTTTCAAGGTGAAACGCTCGAAATGCGTTGTGTTAGTGGCAAAGTGAGATTACCAGCGTTAAAAACTCCACCACACCATTGTATTCATTAATTTTTAGGACCACTCAACTGTCGAAGCTTTTTTTTTTCAACAATGCAATTCGACATTTCAACTGTCATCTTTTAGTGATACAAATATTATTAACTCAGGTTGCAACTGTTGCTGTCGGCAGTGAAAAAGTTGTTACTAAATTTGATTGAAGCTACGATCTTAGCTGTTTAATGAAATGTTGCAGTTTCTTGATAACGCGTATCCCTATTCCAACTGATACGCAAACAATTAGAATTAAGTTTTAAAATAGCTAGCAATTAAAAAAAAATAGGTTTTTTTAATATTTCCCTTCATACGTAGCGAAGTACGTACCGAGCCGATAGTATGTATACATGGTATGTATGTATAAAAGAAAATCGTGTTACTTACACTATT